ATGAGTTATTTTGATACATATAATTAATTCAGCATTATAGGCTAAGGAAGCATGGAAAAGAAATAATTATATAGATCACTTAATTCTCAAAATACATATGAATATCATAGTTAGAAGCTTAAAATAAGCTTCTGCTTCATTTCTGTAGAAGCAAAGTGGTTATTTCACAGAGGAAATTACTGTGTCCCACATTTTGGAGAAATGTCTCATAAACCAAAATTATTGTGATGGTGCATGTTTGCCTTGCACATACCAGTAATATTTTACTTACATGATGAAATTATCTCATTCAATATAAATACCAATATATAACCAGTACTGTGCTATTTTATATACACTATTGCATGTAATCATATTATAGCAACATTGATGTCAAGAAATGAAGCTAGATTTTATAATTACTTTACTATCAGAAGTTTCAGTTATCCACAAAAATAGAAAACATCATCAACATTATGCATTTCAAGATTATTTTGAAAGGAATCTCAACAACTGATCTATTTTCATATTTAGTTTTGTGAAAAGGTAATCACTTAAAAATAAAGCTATAATAAGTCATTAAAATTTTCACTTAATGAAATTTCACTTGATGAAAGAGAAAGGGGAGAGTGAAAAAGTTGACTTAAAACTCAACTTTCAGAAAAAGAAAAGCTATGACCAACCTAGAGAGTGTATTAAAAAGCAGAGACATTACTTTGCCAACAAAAGTCTATCTAGTCAGAGCTATGGCTTTTCTAGTAGTCATGTATGGATGTGAGAGTTGGACTATAAAGAAAGCTGAGTGCCAAAGAATTGATGCTTTTGAACTGTGGTGTTGAAGACTCTTGAGAGTCCCTTGGACCACAAGAAGTTCCAACCAGTAAATCCTAAAGGAAATCAGTCCTGAATATTTGTTAGAAGGATTGATGCTAAGCTGAAACTCCAATACTTTGGCCACCTGATGCAAAGAACTGACTTATTGGAAAAAGATCCTGATGCTGGGAAAGATTGAAGGCAGGAGGAGAAAGGGATGACAGAGGGTGAGATGGTTGGATGGCATCACCGACAAGATGGACATGAGTTTGAGTAAGCTCCGGGAGTTTGTGATGGACAGGGAGGCCTGGCTGCTGCATTCCATGGGGTCGCAAAGAGACGGACGTGACTGAGCGACTTAACTGATTGCACTTAAGTATTAACAACAATTCTTAAATACTGTAAACTATCAAGTGTTCAAATAGGGATCCAAAGTAATCTGTACATGTCATTTGTTTGATTTGTCTCTTGAGTTGCCCCTTAAACTGGTATTTTTATCCCTAATATCTATTTGCTAAAGGAACAAGTATTAAAATATCTTGCATTTGATTTCCACATTCAAGGTTAGACTTAGTGCATTGACTTAATGCATTTTTTGTTCCTTGTGTGCACTGGATTTTGGAAGTTCTATGTAGAGGCACAATTGTATCCAGATTTGGTTATATTGCAAAAAAATATTTCTTAAATTATATTGTGTACTTCCAAGAGTCTGATAGTCTCCATTTTAATGATGTTAACTTTATGTATTACTACATATCTGCCTAAAGCTTACATATAAAAACTTTTTAAAGATTGTAAAATGGTGGTTTTTGAGTTCTATTATTTCCTCTTTGTCTACTGATGGTGATAGTAGTGTGAGGAGAAGTTTCCACTCATTAAATACTTGATTACTCTTGAGTATATCTCTTTCAGCAAGCATTTCTTTCTCAAGCATCATTTTTACACATTTTTCCACTGTCAAATTTGTGTGGTTATTAAGAAAGAAAAACTTGTGACAGGGATTAGATAAAGTCACACTTTTTCAAGTTTTCAGACTCTAATGAGTCTTAGAAGAAAATTCCCATGTTTATATGATGTTAGTTGATAGCTAAGAACAATGTTATTTTAAATAAGTCTCAAGTGATTAGTATAAAAATGTGTTTAACTTTGTTCTGGATAGTTAGTGAAGAAGGGAGAGATGTGGGTGGTTATCTAGCTCTGAAATGCAATTATTTTAATTTCTATATCTTGAAAGGACTATAATAAGGTGGTAAGTGTCTGATAAATCAGATATAGTACTTTTAAAATTAGTGTGATTTCCTTCTTTGTAAAAAGGAATAAAACTCACCTGATATTGGTTAACATTACATTGCTATACTATACCTAATGATTGCATTTTGATATAGTGGATTTTGGGGCTTCCCCAGTGGCTTAGTTGATAAGGAATCTGCCTTAGAAAATCTGACCTAGAAAAAGTCACATCTCTGCTTCCCAGTTTTGTAATATTTTGGATCTCTTAGTTTTCACTTGGAAGTAATGCAATATATTCTCTCTTATTTTTGTAGTTTGCTCATATGTCTCTAAGAGGAACTCTCTTATTTTAAAAATTATACTGTGTAGTGTCTTTTAATGGCAATGGGATTCTGTTTTGTTTTGTCTAATTATAGATTAAATCTTGGGCAGGGAAAAACATAACGTATCTGAGTATGAAGTTACAGATGTCAAGAACCTCTGTCTCCTTGGAAAGTCAAAGTACTTGCTAAGTTTATTGTATCTCTATTAAGAAACAGCAATTCCCTAACTACAAATTTGTTTATGGAAGGAAGAATAAAAGAAAAAAACAAACAAACACTGGGTTAAAATACTAAAGTATTTTTTAAAGACTACATAATACTAAAATAAAAAGATCCATAATATTTTAGTGTTGTTTCTGTGAATAAATTCCAGTAATATATTTGCTATTTACTAAATGTTTTATTGCTAAGAAACCTTTTGTAAAAAGATTTTGAAGATATACCTCAATATAATGCCTAATATTCATTAACTATTCAGCATCCATATGTAAATAGCTCTGATGTTTCAATCATTATCACATGATTTTCTTCAAAAATTACATACACAAATTTTCACATTACTAATATCATTATTAGCAGTTACAAATTTAATATTATAACTAATCATCTCTGGAAAAAAGTGTGAATAACTGTAATATTATAGTTACAACTTGCCTCTTTATCATAAAGGTGAAGAAATGTTAATATTATATCTAAAATTTTCTCTGGTCAAAGTACCTTTACTTCCTTTTCATTTTAACTGTGAACCACAAAAATTATATTTTTTAAATAATTTTCAGTCACTTTTGGGTAGTGTGCAATGTGCATGTTACAATTGACTTATAATTGGACTGTGCTGACAATGGAAAATCTTACAAGTATTGAACATGACATTTATGACAGTCTTGCTGTCATCTTGGCTTCTTTTATTGAATATGTAGAGAATTATAATTGGGCTAACAAGCCTGGTAGCCTGGCCTCTTTCCAATTATATTAACCAGCCTAGTCTAGTATTAGCTGCCTGAACACACACAGAAACAGACATTGAGCTTTTGTTTTTCTTTCCTTTTTATTTTGTTATCTAACCAATAATCTAAGAATAAAACCACCTGCTTTCATGTAATGTTTGACAACTTTAAATAATTCATCTTGGTCCCACTGAGAAATGTAAAGATTGCCTTCTCTATTTTTATGTCACTAATTTTTAACAGAAAGCTGATTTTTTGTGAAAGATTAGTTGTATCTATTAACATATTTTGTACTGCTGCCTCAAAAATTTCTAAAGTTTTTTGGCAATTTTGCCTTCAATTTGTGCTAAAAATGTTGTGATTAATTTGAATTTGACATAAAATTTCTTTTCACATGAACAATTCAGTATACTGATATATTGAAATATTTTCTTTGAAATTTAGTCAAATAATATTTTTTCTTAATCTAACAATAAGTCCTTCAGCTTTGTGTAATCTTAGAAACAACACAATTTAATTGAAAAGCAAATATTAAGAAAAGTTAAGTGAAAAAGCTTGTGGTTTAACGAGTCTGGGAACACCCCAGCATAGCAGTTATTTGGATCACTAGATTCTGTACTTTTGTTTGCTTCATTTTGCTGTCTTCCTCTTATTTTAGAGAATTTATATAGCTGCATATATTTATCCCCACTTCCTCTAGAGCTCCACCAGCAATATTTAAAGTATTCTTTGTCAGAGGTTAACTCAATAGAAATATTTATATGAAAATAACTTGGGAATCTGTCCGATGGAAGCAAAACACCAGTATGGTATATAAGGGATATGACACAGATTGTGTTTTGCAGTGTTGTTATTAGCAGTAAAAACAAGCAAAAAACCTAAAGACAACCTGATTTACTATAAACAGGGAAATTGCCCTTTATTTCATACACTTTATAGGAAAATATACAACTATTAAAATTAGTGAATTAGAACGCTGTGTGTTAACCTGGAAAATGTGCAAAAAGCAGACTGCAAAGAATTACATATAATATGGTCTTGCACAAAGTATATATGTTATGTTTTTTTGTAAGAACAACAAAAGTGAAAGTGAAAGTCTCTCAGTCGTGTCTGACTCTTTGCGAACCCATGGGCTAAATAGTCTATGGAATTCTCATGGCCAGAATAATGGAGTACATAGCCTTTCCCTTCTCCAGGGCATCTTCCTAACCCAGGGATCGAACCTAGATCTCCTGCTTTGCAGGCATGATTCTTTACCAACTGAACTATCAGGGAAGCTAAAAATAGCAAAGTCTTTGGCAACTAAGTAAGCATTGAGTAAATGCAAATGGCCTGCCCTTGCTTTTTATCCAAATGTTATGAATTGCATTTTAATTGTTAAATAACATGAAATTATATTGGTATTGTAATTGAATTATTAACTAAAGTTTAGTTAAAGAGGACAGAGAAAGAAAAATACACAGTTCTTAAAAAGAATTCTGTGTCTTGCAGTTGCTACTTACAATCTGTGGCTCCTATCTAGTTTACTCTTTCTTTTCCAAAGACGTTAATCATATATTAACAAAATATAACCAATTGTCATTTTCTTTGTTACAAGTCCCAGTCATCTGAAGTGTGTTCATTATGTAATCATAAATGTATCATTTAAGACTTTAACTAACAGTGATAACAAATCTTTTTCTTATTAGAGACTATCTAATATACTAATATGTTTGTTCTCTTCTTATGCAATCTTTCCTTGGTACCAGCGGCTGCTTCAAAGAATAAAGTTAAAGGTGAGCTACTGAGCAACTGTCCATTCTGCATGATTCACCATGTTTGTTTTCTGCTCAGTCTTCTGCATCCTCTTAAGCAATAGAGCGAATTCTGTTCATAATAATACCAGTTCTGTGTGTAGATATTGTAAATTTCTACAAATATATGTTATTTTAATTATTCAGTTTCTGATATGTGCCTGTGTTTGCATGATTGTGTACTTATTTTCTTGCTTTACTTTCCACTTTATTCCAAGTGGAATAAGGTATTTTTATGCCCAACATTTTGCCTGTTGATCTTAGTTTCCTTGATAAAATTGTGAATTGGAAAAATACAGCATAAAATAAAGCTAATGGAAAGTCTCAGAATTGAACATGCCTTTATAGAATTATGTGAAAAGAAAATTTTATCCTTTAAAAATTGAATATTATAAACTCCAATTTTCTATTTATGGCTTTTCTTCTATTTCCTAGTTATATTTTCATTTGCTAGAATCCTGAAAATACATTTTCATGAGAAAGGATGTGCTTGTGTAATACCAGAATGTCTCCCTGAAAGAAAAAGAATTTTGGCTTGATGTATCAAAGTCTTTATGACTTTGAAATAATTCAAATGTGTGTGTATATATATACATATATATACACATATAAAATACTATGCCATAAGTTTACAGTTTGTGTGTTTCAATTTTGTGTTCTCTAGAACAATCTGTACTTCTAAAAAATGCTTTTTCCTTCTTATATACCTAATATATAATATTTTCCTCTTTCATTTTTATTTAACAACACTGTAATAACTTTATTAGCCATACATTTGCTATTTTAAGTTTTCTAATCCACAGAGTGTGAAAACGAGTAATTCAAAAAGTTGTTTCTAGGATTAAGGAAAATATGTAAAACAACTCGCAAATTTCCTGATGCTACCAGCATTTAAACAATGCAAGCTTATTTTGTCTATTCTTTGTGGGGAATTTCTGACTCTTCATCATTCAATACTGCCCTGCTAATATCTTCTCCTGTGTTCTCAGGAGGAATGATGGAAGGTTTTATTTCTTTCTTTTATTTTAGTTGGGGGCTAATTACTTTACAGTATTATAGTGGTTTTTGCCATACATTGACATGATTCATCCATGGGTGTACATGTGTTCCCCATCCTGAACCCCCCTCCCACCTCCTTCCCCATCCCATCCCTCTGGGTCATCCCAGTTCACCAGCCCTGAGCACCCTGTCTCGTGAACTGAACCTAGACTGGCAATCTATTTCACATTTGATAATATATATATTTCAATGCTGTTCTCTCAGATCATACCACCCTCTCCTTCTCCCACAGAGTCCAAAAGACTGTTCTATATATCTGTGTCTCTTTTGCTGTCTCGCATATAGGGTTATCATTACCATCTTTCTAAATTTCATATATATGCATTAGTATACTGTATTGGATTTTTTCTTTCTGACTTACTTCACTCTGTATAAGAGGCTCCAGTTTCATCCATCTCATTAGAACTGATTCAAATGTGTTCTTTTTAATGGCTGAGTAATATTCCATGGTGTATATGTACCACTGCTTTCTTATCCATTCATCTGCTGATGGACATCTAGGTTGCTTCCATGTCCTGACTATTATAAACAGTGCGGTGATGAACATTGGGGTACACGTGTCTATTTCAATTCTGGTTTCCTCTATTTGTATGCCCAGCAGTGGGATTGCTGGGTCTTATGGCAGTTCTATTTACAGTTTTTTTAAAGAATCTCCACACTGTTCTCCATAGTGGCTGTTAGTTTTCATTCCCGCTGACAATGTAAGAGGGTTCCCTTTTCTCTACAGCCTCTCCAGCATTTATTGTTTGTAGATTTTTGGATAGCAGCCATTCTGACCAGCATGAAATGGTACCTCATTGTGGTTTTTATTTGCATGTCTCTGATAATGAGTGATGTTGAGTATCTTTTCATGTTTTATTAGCCATCTGTATGTCTTCTTTGGAGAAATGTCTGTTTAATTCTTTGGCCCATTTTTTGATTGGGTCGTTTATTTTTCTAGAATTGAGCTGCAGAAGTTGCTTGTATATTTTTGAGATTAATTCTTTGTCAGTTGCTTTGTTTGCTATTATTTTCTCCCATTCTGAAGACTGTCATTTCACTTTGCTTATAGTTTCCTTCGTTGTGAAAAAGCTTTTAACTTTAACTAGGTCTTGTTTTTGTTTTTATTCCCATTACTCTGGGAGGTGAGTCATAGAGGAGCCTGCTGTGATTTATGTCGGAGAGTGTTTTGCCTATGTTTTCCTCTAGGAGTTTTATAGTTTCTGGTCTTACATTTAGATCTTTAATCCATTTTGAGTTTATTTTTGTGTATGGTGTTAGAAAGTGTTCTAGTTTCATTCTTTTACAAGTGGTTGACCAGTTTTCCCAGCATCACTGGGAAAGTTAAAGAGAGTGTCTGTTCTCCATTGTATATTCTTGCCTCCTTTGTCAAAGATAAGGTGTCCATATGTGCGTGGATTTATCTCTGGGCTTTCTATTTTGTTCCATTGATCTATATTTCTGTCTTTGTGCCAGTACCATATTGTCTTGATGCTTGTAGCTTTGTAGTATAGCCTGAAGTCAGGCAGGTTGGTTCCTCCAGTTCCATTCTTCTTTCTCAAGATTGCTTTGGCTATTCAAGGTTTTTGGTATTTCCATACAAATCGTGAAATTATTTGTTCTAATTCTGTGAAAAATAGCATTGGTAGCTTGATAGGAATTGCATTGTATCTATAGATTGCTTTGGATAGTATACTCATTTTCACTATATTGATTCTTCCAATCCATGAACATGGTATATTTCCCCATCTATTTGTGTCATCTTTGATTTCTTTCATCAGTGTTTTATAGTTTTCTATATATAGGTCTTTTGTTTCTTTAGGTAGATTAATTCCTATTTTATTTGTTTCATTGCAATGGTGAATGGAATTGTTTCCTTAATTTCTCCTTCTGCTTTCTCATTGTTAGTGTATAGGAATGCAAGGGATTTCTGTGTGTTAATTTTATATCCTGAAACTTTACTACATTCATTGATTAGCTCTAGTAATTTTCTGGTGGAGTCTTTAGGGTTTTCTATGTAGAGGATCATGTCATCTGCAAACAGTGAGTTTCACTTCTTGTTTTCCAATATGGATTCCTTTTATTTCTTTTTCTGCTCTGATTGCTGTGACCAAAACTTCCAAAACTATGTTGAATAGTAGTGGTGAGAGTGGGCACCCTTGTCTTGTTCCTAACTTTAGGGAAAATGCTTTCAATTTTTCACCATTGAGGATAATGTTTGCTGTGAGTTTGCCATATATAACTTTTATTATGTTGAGGTATGTTCCTTCTATTCCTGCTTTCTGGAGGGTTTTCACTATGAATGGATGTTGATTTTTGTCAAAGGCTTTCTCTGCATCTGTTGACATAATCAAATGGTTTTTAATCTTTCAATTTGTTAATGTGGTATATTACATTGATTGATTTGCAGATATTAAAGAATCCTTACATCCCTGGGATAAAGCCCACTTGGTCATGGTGTATGATTTTTTTAATATGTTCTTGGATTCTGTTTGCTAGAATTTTGTTAAGGATTTTGCATCTATGTTCATCGGTGATATTGGCCTGTAGTTTTCTTTTTTTGCAGCATCTTTGTCTGGTTTTGGTATTAGGGTGATGGTTGCCTCATAGAATGAGTTTGTAAGTTTACCTTCCTCTGTAATTTTCTGGAAGAGTTTGAGTAAGAGAGGTGTTAGCTTTTCTCTAAATTTTGGTAGAATTCAGTTGTGAAGCCGTCTGATCCTGGGCTTTTGTTTGCTGAAAGATTTCTGATTACAGTTTCGATTTCTGTGCTTGTGAAGGATCTGTTAAGATTTTCTATTTCTTCCTGGTTCAGTTTTGGAAAGTTATACTTTTCTAAGAACTTGTCCATTTCTTCCAAGTTGTCCATTTTATTGGCATGTAGTTGCTGTAGTAGTTTCTTATGATTGTTTGTATTTCTGTGTTGTCTATTGTGATTTTTCCATTTTCATTTCTAATTTTGTTGATTTGATGCTTCTCCCTTTATTTCTTGATGAGTCTGGCTAGTGGTTTGTCCGTTTTATTTATCTTCTCAAAGAAATAGCTTCTAGCTTTGTTGGTTCTTGCTACAGTCTCTGTTTCTTTTGTATTTATTTCTGTCCTAATTTTTAAGATTTATTTTCTTCTACTAACCTTAGGGCTCTTCATTTCTTCCTTTTATAGTTGCCTTAGGTGTAGAGTTAGATTATTTATTTGACTGTTTTATTTTTTCTTGAGGTAAGTCTATATTGGTATGAACCTTCCCCTTATCACTGCTTTTATAGTGTCCCATAGGTTTTGGGTTGTTGTGTTTTCATTTTTATTTATTTATATGCATATTTTGATTTTTTTTAATTTCTTCTGTGATTTATTGGCTATTCAGAAGCGTGTTGTATAGCCTCCATATGTTGGAATTTTTAATAGTGTGTGTGTGTGTGTGTGTGTGTATGTGTGTGTGTTTTCCCTGTAATGGACATCTAATCTTACTGCACTGTGGTCAGAAAAGATGCTTGGGATTATTTCAATTTTTTTGAATTTACCAAGGCTAGATTTATGGACATGATGTGATCTATCCTGGAGAAAGTTCCATGTGCACTTGAGAAAAAGGTGAAATTCATTGTTTTGGGGTAAAATGTCTTATAGATATCAATTAGGTCTAACTGGTCCATTGTATCATTTAAAGTTTGTGTTTCCTTGTTAATTTTCTGTTTAGTTGATTTATCCATAGGTGTGAGTGGGGCATTAAAGTCTCCTGCTATTATTGTGTTATTGTTAATTTCCTCTTTCATACTTGTTAGCATTTGCCTTACATATTGTAGTGCTCCTATGTTGGGTACATGTATATTTATAATTGTTATATCTTCTTGGATTGATCCTTTGATCATTATGTAATGTCCTTTGTCTCTTTTCATAGCCTTTAAAGTCTATTTCATCTGACATGAGTATTGCTACTCCTGCTTTCTTTT